GTCACCCCTCTCTTAAGCCCTCTACGTGTGTGTTGGTGATTAGTGGATGACATCATTATGACCTGACCTCATGTTTATATAAGGTCACCTGTATATTTAAGCCTCTCTCTGTCCATGTATCCAGTTGCCTCTGGAAGATGTTAAATAAAGACGAAAGCTAAGGTTCTGTTGTTTCCCTTTTCCCGTGTGGATTTATATATATATATATATATATATATATATATATATATATATATATATATATATATATATATATATATATATATATATATATATATATATATAGTATGCTGATAACCACAAGGAAAGAAGAAAACACGAAGTTCCTATGTGTAATTACATCTTCAGGGTGAGTACAGACTAAGGAGAAGTACAAAACAAGGTGTATATATATATATATTAGAGGAGGGTGAGATTAGGTCCGCAACGGTCAGGTATTAGGTAATGACCCTACTAATCTTTAAAAAGCACCGCACCGGTTGGTAGTCAGGTCAGAGTGTAAGTTGACCCAACCTTCTCACCTGGTTAAAAATCTTCTTAATTACAAAATTGTCCAGTTTGTACATACCATTACTCAAATTCATGTTGACTGCTTCGGTATGTTTAATGAGACTAGATTCTATGTTCCTACTGTCAATTGAATTACAAGGTGCTTATGTGTGATTCATTCCCAACCTACCCTCCAGGACTTCTCCTCTAAACCTAAATGTCTCCCTTTAGTTGAACATATCATATGGTTCTTGGTTTTAGCTCATGAAAATTCCGTTGTAACAAGTTTCTGTGGATTCTGTCTCGTGTTGGTATATTCGTAGTACACAATATACAGTTGACTCTCTCACCAAGACTGTTCGTGGTCTTGCTCTCCCTGATCTTAGGCCTACATCCTCCCTTCTGTGTTACAGAACGAGAATACATTCTTCCTCTTTTCTTCCTACAACCCATCACGGCATTACATAAAGGCATGGACTTATAATTTGCAGATATAATGTTGTCTTGGCTTGCAATTAAGCTAGGAAGTCCCACATCTAACACCCTTCAGCATCATTGCTTCGATTGTTCCACCATCAGGGACCTCCTAACACATTAAGATTCACTAATCACAGTAAGTCACCATTTACTTGTACCCAAAAATTTAGATACAGGCTAATTCTGGTATGCTGCCCACACTTTGGTGGTGCTAGGTAAGGTTCCCTCTTTGTCCCCTTAAGTTGAATGCTCAAGTTTGCTGCCATTTGGAAAAAATCTACTTGTTAACTAAATAATTAATATCTTGTTGTCTTCTGTTATGATAGACCATAAGTCTTCCTCAGAGTTAGTTGCCCTTTGGGTGAATTTAAAGAAATAAAAAATATATATACTGTACCATACTGCAGAATACCTGGTTTTACATAATTATAAATACAGTACTGTATGTGCATGTTTTTCCTTAGATATCACTTCAGTATATCCCTTCAGTATTGTCTACTCGCTCAGTCATATTCAATTCACAACTCAATGTGATACAGGTAGTACAGATGCAACAAAAATTACATTTAGAACTCATAAAACACCTATGCCACTGATGGCCACTGAATGTAGGTAAATAATCATAAATAATGGAAAAATTAAACAGCTAGAGAATGAAATCAAGTACAGGATACTGTAATATAAAGGTGCATATAGAATATAAACAACAAAATATCACTGTTCTACACTGGTTACTTATTTGTTTATACAGTATACTTGTACAGTTGCCAGCAAAAGTTCTCCCACAGCCCTGTGTAGCAAGTTTAGGAGGATTTTTGCTGGCAAACTTACATGTGCTATTGCTAATTTTGGTAAGGCAAAAATATATGCTATACATTGAGATTCAGTGGAATAACAATGCTGTACACATAATATCTGTATTGTAAGTTAATTTTTGTACAATACATTAATATATTTAGTGGGGAAGGAGAGTTGTGGTTATGACTTTCACCATACCCTGTACCCATACAGTACTTTTGATGCTGTTGTTAATCTGAATTGTTTGTTTAAAATTAGCTAAAAATTGTGGGGGGGAGTGTTGAGGAATGACTTATCAGGTAGTGTAAATGGAAGTCAGGGCAACAAAGGTGATATAAAATGGTACTCAAACTTTCCCAGGAGAACCATATAATGTTTTAAATTAGACAAATTTAGATTTAAGTCTTGAGTGCGAGATAGGTGGTTTGAAATAAGAAGTGGATGAGTGAACACCAAACATCATCGTTAACTGAACATCGGGATAGCCTCAAACATAGGTTGGATGGATATATGCGTGAGGAATTGGTGTAGCAGGACTGCCCATTATGAATAGGACTGGTTTTATCTTATGTTCTTTATAGCATCTAAAGATAATAAACACTTCTGTGTTAAAAGGAATTTTCTTCTTCATAGTTGATGACAATTGTTTATATCATATTTTAACGGAAATCTGAGTCACCTATGGTTTATAAAAAAGACATTTACATAAATTTTATAACTAATGGCACCCATTGTCGATCAATATTTGCGCACTCAAATTTTTGTAATCCATTTACTGGCCAGATAAGCGGCATTTCTGAAATTAGCATACGGTACTTGGTGTTGACTACACCAAGAAAAAGTGATTGGTACAGATGCTATTATCAAGATAATTACTCTTTACTTATCCTCTTCTACTGATTACATTTCGACAACACAGCTTGGACGATCGGTCACGTCTCTGATTACTTTTTCTTTTCTTTATCCTCTTCACCAATTGTAACAAAGTGTTAGTAAGTAGAGGTTCAAGAAAGTATGAGGATGTGTGGATCCAGTGTTTACAATAAAGAGCATATGTGAAAAGATTCTGGACGAGGGGAAGAGATTTATGTGGGATTTATAGATTTCAGAAAAGCATATGATAAATAAAATAGAAAAACAATGTAGGAAGTACAGTATTAGATACATATGGGGGTAATAGAAAAATATTGATGCTGTTCAGGGATTTTAAAGTAAAGAGGTAATCAGGTTCCCAGTGAAACCAGGACTATAGCTTGTTAAGGAATAGCTTATTAATTTCAAGGATGGGGTAGCACGATATGTTAAAGGCAAGGCTAAAAGGATATAAGTAGCTCCTGTTGGTTGATACAGCTCTAGTTGGCAATTCGGCAGAAGAACTTTTTCTTTTCTTTTTATCCTCTTTACCATATTTCGTTGACGCTTGAGCGATCGGTCACGTCTCTGTTACTTTTCGCTTCTTTATCCTCTTCACCGATGACGTGTTCGTTATGGCGTTAGATGCGTTTCTGTTTTTGTTGTTGGCGCTGGGCGCTCCTGAATTTACCTGAACCGCTTCCAGTGTTGGTCAAGTCTTCTCTTGAAAAAAAGTCACTACCGCGTCTGCTTCCTGGTAGAATTGTTTCAGGGTTTACACTTTCCTCGAAAAAGTTTGCCCTCAAGTTTTTCCTGGATGGCTTCAATCTTGAGCTGTGACCCTCTTGGGCGACATCCGGCTCAAAACGGACTCGACGCCCCTTGAGATGCTTCCTCCGCCCGTCGCACCGTCGCCAGTTAGCTTGGCAAGTTCAGGCGCTCCAATCTCTCAGGGTAGCTGAGGTGCCGAAGTGCAGGCACCAGTCTGGTGGCCTTTCTTTGAACATTTTCAACCAACCGACAATCCCTAGCATATTTCGGGGACCAGACGGGGTGACAGTACTACAGATGGGGAAGCACTTCACTCTTGAAGGTTGGAAGAGTATGTATTAGTTAAAAGTTAATAGTGAACAGAAAATTGTCAGGGCAAACTTTTTTGAAGTGTTAATTGTAAACTCTTGGAACAATCTGCCAGAGAGTGTTGTGACAGCACCAAAGTGTGAGCTCATTCAGAACCAAACTTGACCAACACTGGCACAGGTACAGATATGTTCTGGAGCCGGTGCATGCCCAGTACTTGCCAACAGTGTGTATCAGAGACAAGACCGACCGCCCAAACGGCTAACGAGCCAATAAGTGGTGAAGAGGATATAGTAAAGAATGAGAGAGATAACACAGTGGATAGAAATTAATGATACCATGAATGAAGATAAAATGGGGGAAGTGAAGTTCAGAGATCTGGGAAAAAATGTATCAGCAAACAGAACAATAAGAGATCAACTAAACCATAGAGTAGCAGTGAGAGAACTGTATCAAGAGGTAAAAATGACTTTACTTTTACTTTTATCCTCCTCACCACTGATCGGTTCATTAGCCGCTTGGGTGATCGGTCACATCTCTGTTACGCATTGTTGGCAAGTACTGGACATGCACCGGCTCCTGAATGTACTTGAACCTGTGAGGATGTACAGGAAACCATTGAACCATCATTATCAACTTAGCATAAAGCAAGGACTCTGAATGCAACAATGAACAAATTAGAAGTAACAGAAATGACATGCTTGATAAAAAATAAGTGAGTTTGAACAGGAGGAAGAAAATAAGAAATAATGAAATAATATCTGGATCTGAAAAAATGGTTGGGCAAGTAATCGATCAGCATGCTCAGGTGGTTTGGAAATAATGTACCGAGAAATGGAAAGTGAAAAAATAGCAGAAAGTCTCTGTGCATAATTCAGATGTGAATGGTAGGAGGGAAGATCAAGAAGCAGTTGGAAGAATGGGATGAAGTAAAGTGTGCACGAAATGTGAGGTTGAGTATACTGCATTTCCTGGCAGGAAGCAGTAGCGTGAGTGAATGAGAAGAGAGCTTTACACCAAGTTATGTATGAAGAAGTACATGCTGCTGATGTTAGCTGCTGTGAAGCAAGAGGGTTAAACCAAGTGGATATTTCAGCCTTTTTGGGGAGGGTGAGTGCCAATATAATATAACTTTTACAGTAACGTACTGTACTACAGAAGTAAGTAGGAATAAATGAGAGAAGAGTGTGTGTTATTTGGTCCAGATACAAGCCACTTTGCATTATAATAGGGAAGAGGCTGGAGAGAAATAATTACATACAGTATATGTTATGTATATACAGTAAAGAGAAAATAAAAAAAAATTATTATTTAAAGAATTTATTAACCATTTACAACAGCCTAATAACATATTCATTTCATTTATATTTAATTAAATGTGAAACTGGTTATCATATACTGTACTGTATTTGAAAACACAAAAACACATTTGAGTTTAAACCTTATATTAATAACTTTTCAGTTTTACTCCTTTGTCTTTTACATAGAGTATACTGTAGTTATTTGGAAAAAAATAAATTACATATATATATATATATATATATATATATATATATATATATATATATATATATATATATATATATATATATATATATATATATATATATATATATATATATATATATATATATATATATACCATTAAATAACAGAATTTAAAATAAACACTACAGGTTTTTAAACTATACCCAAGCAATCATATTCCAACAGACATCGTTTTCTTCAATTCCCATATGTGTTTATACAATGTATATATATGTACAAAAACCTACTTGCATAGAAAAGGGAAGTTGTCAAAGGTTTGCTGGGTACTAAAACTTATAACTGTATTATGCATCCTAAATGATGTGCTTTAATGTTTCATAAAAGTGCACTTGGAATAGTGAAAGAAAGAATGCAAATAAACATACAGTAGTAACATACTGTACAATACTGTATATCCATAGATATATTCTGTACGTATATTGTATTGGTTGGAGAAAGATGTGGAATTGGTTTAATAAATTTTAGTACAGTTCAGGTACTGTACTTCATTCTAGAGCCCAAAGGATTTGCACTCGTTTTTCAAGCCAAAATAAAAAATTTTGTCTACAGATTTACAAATATCTAGCAAAGAAAGGAAGGGTGAGAGCCAACAGAACAGGAGCCAAAGAGAATGTGAGAGCTGGAGAGCCATTGCAGAAATCGCCGTTGCACTGACAAACTTGTTGCACGTAGTCCTCGGCACGCTTCTGATAACAATCAGCGCCCTCACGGCGATTGTAACCACAGTCCCGGTGAAGACGGATCGAGCCATTTAACTCCACTGTTAAATAAATAGTGTTAGTGACTCATTAAATCCTATTGTTTTCCATGAATCTAAATAAACTAATTACTACATCCCCTGCACAATTATTTCACGATCAAAAATATCAAAATACTGTACAGGAGATAATCAAATCAACAATGAACAGAAATTTTGTATTAAATGAGCTATTAGAACATTAACATGTCTAATACAGAAAGAAATCATGAACTTGTAATAAAAAAAATATCATCTGGATGTGTATCAGTAAAAGTATGACAGGAGATATGTCACACATTTTACAATAAGTGAAACTTATACAAGGAGGCTTATGATAAGAACACAACACAGTACAGTACCTTGAAAATAAGGTTAGGTACTTATTTAAGATTTGAATGATACACATTTGGTGTTATAATAAATAATTATGACCCTTAGTTCTTGGGATGGGTACAAGGGCACTCCAGTATAATAATTCTACTGTGTGTTTGTGATTACAATACAGTATATCTTTTTGCACAAGGGGGGCTAGGCTGAAAGAAATAAGGCACACTGTTGTATGAAATGGAGATGCTTGCATCCTGGATGTGTGCATGTGTGAGTGACAGGCAAAATCCAAGGTTGTACAAGTCCTCTTCCTTAATACTGTAGCTTGAAAATAAGACAAGTATCATGCATAAATCTTCCTTCCAGATTTTTTTTTTTTTAGGTTCATTCCCTGGTCTCACAAACCTGTACCACATTTGCATTCGATTATTTTATGTAAACAGGGCAACAAAGATTCTTTGTTAACTTACAATGAGGCTATTTCAGTATATATTGTGTATTCAAAAATTTCAATGACTATACTGTATTTGCCAACAGTGCGTGACAGAGACGTGACCGATCGCCCGGGTGGCTAGCGAGCCGATCTTTTGGTGAAGAAGATAAATGAAAAGGAAAAGTAATCAGAGACGTGACCGATCGCCCAAGCGGCTAACGAGCCGATCAGTGGCGAAGAGGATAAAAGTTAACCCAATGGGTATGAAAAAAGTTTTCTTCTAGTTGCCTTTTAAATGTCTGGAAATTCATCCTTAATATGTATACTGTATGTATGTTGTAAAACATAATGAAGCTTTAAATGGTACAATTCTTAAAAGATTCAGTGACATTTTGAAACAGAAAATGAAATCTAATTTCAGCTGAATGAAAGAAATGTGAAATTCAAGTCAGAAGTACAGTACTGTACAGTATAGTACTATTAACCTCAGTCTTTAGGTAGCAAAAGAAAAGGAAGCCTCTTGCAGCCACTGTTTTGTTTGCTCCTGACAGTTTTAAATACTGTACAGTGTGTTAAGAATCACAGGACATTTTTTTGTCTACCTCGATTTTCCAAGAGAAATATAAAAGTTACTGTATGTAAGAGTCATGTACATAAAAAACTGTAATGTGTGTTTAGAGGACATAATTCTGTTCCCGAGCTTATGCACGGCACAGTACATATACCTCCTATGTATCTTTTTTTTTTTTTTTTTAAATGGCTTGGACATGTATACACGTGATATCTAGTAAAAATTTAGTGTCTTCCATAACAGACGTTGCCATAATACAATACTTATCTCCATGATGCCTTCAACTCACCTCGATCAACTGAAAAAGAGAATAAAGTCATATTAGTCCACCTCTCATAATGGCAGCATGTCATCTACACATTATGATCTACATAAAACTATGTACAGTACTAAAGTCACAGTGTATAAAAAGAAACATTGTTTTCAGGATATAAAAGAATTTAAGCATACTGTACATAGTACAGTGCTCCAACATTGGATTCTAAGAAATTTTAAGCTGCTTAGAAGCTTCAATATATAGGACAGTTGTGGAACTGTGAAATCACTCTGCAACACCACCACAGCAATTGAACGACAAAGACTTTCCACAATGACCAATATGGATGCTTGTACAAAGGTCACCTCTAAATATAATGTACAGTGCAGAAGTAATGCACTTTTATTCATCAAGCTTCCTATAATTTTGCCTCCATGGGCAAGTTAATCTATCATCTATCCTTGGTGCTGTTATGTATTATGAGAGAAAATACATTTTTGTTTACTGATTTTACAGTTGTTAAGCTAAGAGCTAATAAGAATTTTAAGTTATGCAGGTTAATCCAACTGATATCAATATGATTACAGTATACAGTGTTGCCAGTACATTTTGTCAAGTGAAATGTACAGTATTGTATAAAAGATGCCTAGATATTCATTCACACTACCTAAGATAAATCTAACAAAATACAATTCAATGTAAACGATAATACCCAAACTATTACCGTAATTCAGCTACATCGAGGACTCTCATCTCCACGAGTTAAACTTTCAGCTGAAGACTCTAAAATGAAGCTTTTTATTTGTGACATTAAGCATACATTTTGTTCCCGCTCTTTATCAACAATAGTGAACTCCATAATTATTAGCGAAGTCTCAGAAACATGCAGCTGCGGCATAAAGCATTTAAACCCAAAAACTTAGATGCTTGACAAACTACACTACAGTAGTACTAAAAAAATAATTGGGAATGATACTTTTTTTTTTGCCAAAAAGACAAGAAATGTACGAAATGTCTTGCTAATTTGACAGTGAAGGAGAGATTGTAAGCAATACACTAACAAAAACTGAAAAAAAAACATAAATAATAAGTCTGAGGCTAAGAGAATAACGAATGAAAGGGGGACAGTGTTGGGAAGAAAAATAAGAGAGAACATTTGAAGGAATAAATAGGATGAGTAGAAGTAGGAAGTGAAGGAGGTGGAAGAAAATAAGGAGGAAAAACGATGATGGTAATGATTAAGTGTAGAGAAAAAAAAGAGAGAGAGAGAGAGAAACAAGGCTTCTCTCCACCATCAGGTTAGAGAAAGATCGTTCTTGTTCTTAGGTAGTATTGTCTTTCAGTTGTATACTACAGTAGGGTATTTCTTTATTATTATGTAGTTCTGTAACAGTTCAAGTATTCTGCCTTCAAATTTGTCCAGATTGAAAAGATGCTGATGTAATAATGCATTACTATTACGCTTCAACAACTAAGGTCTTTTTTACACGAGTACAGTACAGTACTGTATTCTAAATTAGTAAATGCAGTAATGTACTGTACTCTCGTCATCAGCCATTAAAAGTTAAGAGTGAAATACATTTGTCTGGTTTGAAAAGAGAGCCGGGATCTTTACTGTTTAATTTTCTTTCTTTTAAACTTAATGACACCTGAAATGCTTCATTCTGTTTACTTACTGACTAAATGGCAAATGGTAATATGACACCATCATAATATCTTTTAAGTCTTCACTGTCTAACCATTACATAATCAAATACTGTATGAAAGAAAAGTTCTCATATACCTGTAATGCGACTTCAACTTACCATATAGTTTGGTTTTGCGGCAAAAGACATCAACTATAGTCTCGTTGTCACCAGAAAGTGCAGGTATTTCATCAGAGCAGTTCTTAATGAAAGCTGCTTTCAAGGCAGGGGAATCATAGCTGAACTCGTCATTACAGGCAGAGTCCATCACATTATTACACACATAGCACTGGAGGGCCATTGCTGTGAAAAAAAAATATATATTAAACACTCCATTTGCAGAAACATATAATAGAAACTACGAGCAAGTTGTAATAAAAAAACATTTGGACAACTATAAAATCGCTACGTAGACTTGGCATTAATTTTACTGTCACTTAATCTTAAGACTTACCTAGCCTCTCGCCAACCACTTTTCTCTTTCAGTTGGGGTGAAAAGACATAATTAGCTCAGTTCACTGAATGTACAGATGACAAACTCAAAATCTTATAAGATAATTCCTTCAATTGATGTGTTATTTATTCCACACATGTTTTAAAACACAGATGAAGCATGTCCTATTTCATTTATGTACATGTACAGTGTGTAAGTTTGGGATACAAGGGTCCTGATTTCTGTGGTGTGCTGCAATCCTATGTATCGAAAATATCATCATCCATCACCCAGTAACTGCACATTAAGAATACCCTCAGCAACACAACACCAGAAGTAACACACAACATCCAGCCCATACGTGCACGAACTGATCGCTATAAGAACAGCCCAGTCCCAACCATTGTAAAAATTATCAATAACTTGTAATAAACCAGTGTGTTCATTCCCAGTAAATACTACTCCTTACACTGTCACTCTGTTGAAATGCCCTGTAGTTTGAGCTTTTCCCCATCTAGTTATTATATATCTTTCAATAAACCGTTAATTATTATTATTATTATTACATAACCGCATCAACACAACTCCCTCAACACCACCACAACACAACCTCAGCAACACCATAACACAACTTCAGCAACACCATAACACCTCCAGCAACACATCAAACATCTTCAACACCATCAGGAACACCACAGCACCCACAGCAACACATCAACAACACTACGCATCAACAACACACCACATCAACAATACCTTTAGCAACACACCAGAACAATAAACCCCCCCAGCAACACAACAGCAGCCTAATAATCCACAGCTGCACCCGCCGGCCAGGATGTGCTCCATTTAGGCGTACTCTCACCTTATAGAGCCCCTCCTTCCAACACATACAGGACGAGTGGTAAAACGGCTCCATATAATCTCCTCCACCATCCACGCACGATTCTAAGCAGTAAAACGACACTTTTTGATCCTTTACACCAAACGTACACGACATCAAACGATACAACGAGGCTTTAGAATCTTTGTACCACAAATATTCAACTTTAAAAATATTAAATGACGCCGTCTCCATTCTAAATCACGTTTGCACGGCTTCAAACTATAGGGCTACATTTGTATATCAATGACATGATTTTAGGAATTAATACTTTTAGTTAATCAGAGCACATGATCCTGGGGGCAACAGTCAGGTGGATACTGTAGGTCATTGACTCACGCCAGGGGTACCCGTAGTCTACTCAAATGAGAATGGATACCAAAACTTTACAGCAGGGGAAGTGAACGCAGTCGAGCACAGTACCAGCCACATTGCCTCCCCACATTTCGTTGTTCAGTGTGCTGCACTGCTGTATTAACAACTATCCCTAACGGACCCGTGAAGCCTATGGGACCAATTTCACTTTTCACACATGATTTCAATGAAGTGATTTAAGTACATTTTCATATTTAATGAATATATGTATTCTATTAACAATAAGGTGGTGTCACGCTTGCAGATTTCGTCGACTTTTAACTAGTTGGGCTGGGCTGTTAGCCTTTTGAAGTATGAGTAGCGTAATTTTCATCAAATCCTACTTTTTTTTATTTGTGTGCACGAGGGATTATTCAAACAAGATTAGCTTCTACGTACCTCTGAAAAATGTCAGCTAATTCCGCGGGAGCGCAAATTCCGAAATGGCGGCCTATGGTCATTTTCCCAATATGGCCGGTGATAACTTTTGAACTAAAATCATGAATAAGGGGTCATTTTCCACTAATTTTGAGCTGAGAAATCTGATGGGATGATACATTTTTAGTTTGGGCGCCATTTTAACTCCAAATCTAAGATGGCGGCCAACGCAAATGGGAACACGTTTTAACTTAGGAACCAACCCAGTTATATGCATGAATGAAGCTCCTCCTGGCACTAATTCCAGTGTGACAGAATGGATAAGATAGTTACTTTACTTCTGAGGTAACCTCGATCCTTTATACAAAATAGTTTCACTCTGACATCTTATAAAAGCGGTTGGGAGCATAATGGTCACTAATTGCATTAAAGCAACGCCACCATGTGAGAATAATTGTGATTTCAGTATCTGGGGTATATTCTGAACAACATTAAACAAAGTTCTTTTAATGCTTTACTATAATAACATTACCGTATAACATCGAAAACAGTGAGCATCCACGAATGTGAACTGTTGTGTTTGGATTTACCTGGAAATAAATACTTAAAAATCTTAATTATTGAAGGACAGAAGCCCGAGTGACGGTTTGCATTACCCAGAAAACACCGTTATCCATCGAAACCAACCTTAAGTCCATAAAACACAAGATGGCTCTGGCCGTAATGACTCCAACGTGAACGGGATAGCGAGTTTGTGACACTTCAGAGTATACAGTATAGTTTGGCAATATTATTTCAGAAGTAACAGCACTGCTGGCCCGTGACAATACCTGATTTCAATACGTTGTTATTTTAGTTATTGTATGCTTTAGGTGTTTAAGCACCGTCCGCGTTTTAGTTTGTACATTAAATAGCAAGTTTTAAACTGTTGATAAGAAAGGGTTAAACAATATCATCAAAGGATTAAGAGACTCTTCTCAAAGGGTTAAACTACTATCCTCAAAAACATGCAGGGATGAAATCTGATCGGGTCTAAAGTTCAGGGTGGAACTGACTCGCCTAATCTGACTTAGGTCTGTTTCGTGTGGTCTCAGGTGGATAAATACCTTCTTTAAATGCCAATGCAGTTAGCATGTAATAAATTTATCTTGGTACTGTAGTTGGTATTGTCTAATGACGTCTGATATTTAAAGTGTCTGCTGCACCAAATATCTATACAAAATGCAGCATCAAAGTTTTAGGCTTAGCATAGTATAACTTACTGTATCTACACTTATGGGTAGTCATACCTACAGGATCCACTTCATCTTTCATCCCTATACATCTCAAATTTCAAGGCATTCGTAAAGTATCCACAAACTAGCACCATGCAAGTAATGGTAATTTTCCTTCACTATTACTTTTACGTTTCTGCTTCCTGCCATGTTCATTGGGAGCAGAAACCAAGAGATAAAAATCATATTGCGTAGCTTCTTGAGAGTACACCATAACTGCTTTTCTCATCTCTAATTGGAAATTTAAAATATTAAATATATGTATATTTCTTGATGTGACGTCATCGGAGACTCAAGCAAGTAACCGCAAACGGCTGTCCAGCAGTTCTGCCACAACCGACAGGACTTCAAGTAGCTATTTAGTATACATACTATAATAGTGTGAAAGTACACATCTTAAACATAAAACGGACTGTAGTTATATCTAAATGAACACTACATTAAAACTGGACGAGTGGTGTTGATGTAATCAAGGTGGACGAAATATCACTAGTCCACAAACTTTCACTCCTTGGACCCATATATAGTTTCGTCTAAACTTATTCAAACATCTGAAAATGTGCTCCTCACAACGAACAGAATAAACCTACCTGTACTGTAGTGTTGAGGCTACACTATCGATTAAAAAAATACATAAAATGCTCAGAACTTTAAAGAAGGCAAGTAATTGACCTTTTTCGCTACATGTGTTTGAACATCAAGTAACCTGAACTTAACGAAAGGTAAACGTGTTTGTTGCTCGTCATTCTATTTATTGTTGCCAAGAGTTGCTGGCAACCTCGTGGCGTCTGGCTCACTTAAAGTAAGTACTTTTTGGTAACTCGGTGCTCTCTGCTTTTACGTCTAAGTTTAATTTGAGTCATTCTAGATTTGATTAATTCTCATGTAATCCTAAGATAAATTGGTTGAGATGTATTTGTAAAATGAATCACTATTTAAGGTGAACTATTACGTTAGATTGATTTTCATTATAATTTGTCATTATCATAGCTACTTACCTCAATTGTGTTGTATTCAAGGTTGGTCATATATCGAAGTGTATATACTGTTCTTGTAATTACCATCATGCACCTGTTAGCATCTATTATATTATTTTATAATATTCAAGTTGTTATATTCTTGACTTACACTATCGTTATCATTTTCATTACACGTTCTCTTACTGCGTTAAGATATTAATGGGTAAATCTGAAGGTAGGAGAGCCAGAGTAGAGCAAAGACAATGGGTGAAGGATTTTAACAGTTGGGGTTCCCTTAGATACAAAATCTGGGAGGATTAGGAAGACATCCCAAGAACATTTGGAGTGGTGAACCGTGGTCAACAACCTTTATATTTGAGAATAACACCAACATTGATGGACGGACTGGTTATGTCATACCTTGAGTTTTATAGAAGTTATTTTATTATTAATTCTTCCGGTGTTATCTTTCTGTACAGTTGCAGACAAAACGAACTCGGTGGAGGAATGCAAGCTGTGTCTGATTCATAAATTAAAAAAAAAAATATGGTGTGGAAAGAAAATCGCACTTTTAATCGTCACCTCTACTGTATGTAACGTTGCCAAGTTTCCACCAACCCCCTACCCTCCCATACACCACCTCTCTCCCTTCCTGCCGAATTCTTTTTTGGCCACAACTGTACTTGTATTGAGGATTGCTGGCCACAGTGCATTATATATATATATATATAAGTTTACAGAAATATATTTATCTATCGACGACTGATAAAGCCTTCATCGTAAATGAAGAACGCGGTAGATCGTGGTAATTATAGTCAAGTGCTAGGTGACGGTAAGGGACCTGTCTCCACTATACTAAGGAGAAAGGACCCCTGAGCCAGATTCGTGTTGGCAGGCTGGCGTGGGGAGGTGGTGGTGCTCCCTAGCTCGGAATATTTTTGGATCTCCGGGACCCACCTGTGCGTGTGTGTAATCGCCAACGAGCTCTGCAATGTGTTTACCGCAAGCACAAAAAAGAATCT